CATTATAAATAATCATTATATAATTATCGGCAATACCTTGTCCACTCCAACCCCTCAAATTCCCCAATCTTAAATCAGATAAAAAATAGAGGAGCGGGAAACGACATCCAGTGCCGTAAGTGACATTTCGTAATGGCAAACACTTATGTAACACGATCAGCAGACTTAATGTACTTATTTATACATGTATCACGTAAGCTAAAAACATTGACTCAGCCCATAAGAATGTAACATTAAAGTCATCCTAACTTGCAAACACATGCTCTTCTTAATATTGCTCCTCATAATAATACATTATTACCTATTTATAACAAAGCAGCCTTTAACCTAATACATCTACAAAAAAAAACTTCATGGCGGGTGACCGGAAGGCGCCACTGGTAGGTCCATACATTACACTTGGATCTTTCCTTTTCCTCTATTATTTCTGTCTGTCTGTCTTACCTTTTTCCAACACTAAAGTAAAAAACCATTATTGACATTGTGTCGATGTGCTTCACTTTACTCAAACAAATAAGCAAACAAACAACGATGTTAATAAAATTAGCAGTTTTTGCCTTCTAACTTCTTACACAAGAAAGTTTTTAAAAAGTACGACCAAACGCTGGCAACAATCTTGGTTGATAACTTGTGAACTCGGGTCAGCATTTTAATTTCTACTCCTCACTGATAATGTTGGGTCAAGCTGTGTGCATGTTTCCTTTCACCAAGATAACACAGATACATGTATTGTAGGCCTAAAACTAGATCGTATTCACCAGGCGACTTCTAAGACCTCGTAGGCACAATAGGCTCTTTTGGCTAAGACTAAGAATCATGTACAAGTGTACAGTCGAGCCTGCTGTAAGGGCCACCATTCCAAGGCAATCATACTAACGACCACTTCCTACTTTCTGATAGAGTATTATATGGCACTAGCCACGACTTTCACATGTCTAAGAACCACTATTCCCTTCGACAGTGGGTGGCTGTCTTGGACAAACATTTACTTCGACTGTATTTCAGATTCGTCTATGAGGTAAACAGAAAAGAGCCTTCAAACTTTTCCCAGAGCGCCAGTTTTGAAACGTTCATATTCGGGTTAAAATCCTTGCCGGCCCAAGTGTAGTTGATTGGTTATGATGAACTACTAATTTGTGCATCAACCAAGATTGCAGAAGCGTGCGGTTACATTTGAAGGTACCAGGTGTAAGCAGACTTCCATTATAAGTGCATGTATAATACAATATTAAAATTATCACATTTTTATGCAATCATGAGGGGGAACTATGCCTACTCATTGAGGTTGATATGCCGGTGGTTGTGGTGCTGCTGTTCTGCTGCTGCTGCTGCTGCTGCTGCTGCTGCTGCTGATGATGATGATGATTATGATGATGGGCGATATGATGCTAACAATACAATGATGGTATCGATGTTGATAATGACGACGACGAGGGTGATGACGTGGACGACTTCATTGTGTGTGTGTGTAGGGGGGGGGGGAGGGACGCCAACAACTTATAACAACATACATTGTACTACAAAATGTATTCTCCCCAGGCATCCCCGTCCCCGCGGGCACCGGTATCGTCATCCCCGCCTATAACATCGCCCGAGACCCGGACTTCTTCCCGGAGCCCGACCTCTTCCGACCGGAGCGCTTCCTGCCCGACACCGGCCACAGTGACGTCAGCCCGGTCACTTTCTTGCCCTTCGGCTTCGGTCCGCGCCAGTGTGTGGGCATGCGGCTGGCGCTGTTGGAGCTCACTCTGGCCGCTGTGCACGTGCTTCGGGCAGTGGTCATCGAGAGCGTCACGCCGGACCAGCTGGAGATTGAGGACATCTCCGGGACGCTGGTGCCCAAAGTTCCCATAAAAGTCAAAGTTCGGGCTCGGGTGACCTCCTGACAGGTTCGGTTGACCTCCTGACAGGCTCGGGTGACCTACTGAGCGCCTAAAGCTGGTGTTGTAGTATTGCGCTTTGTTTGTTTGCTTGTTTGAGTAAAGAGAAGCAAATCAACTCAATTAGGGTCAGTTTTGATATAATATATGTAAATACATATAGTAGAATGTGACCGTAAGGGTTGTTTTTCGTCCACAACGACAAAACGTAGCTCATTAATTAAGAGGCGGGCTGCTTTGACACTGCTTGTAAGAACCTACCAGGGATGAGACGGATACAACATCCCAGGAGAGAGACCGAAATACTTGGTTTTTAAAAATCCTCCATATGCGGGAATTTAACTCACGTCTTCTGCATGAGATGGCGAAGTGCCTAACCACTACACCACAGATGGCGGCAAGGGTCGCTTAATAAAACGAAATAGTACAAATTAATGACTGCACCCCTCCCCCCCCTCCTCTTCCAGAAAGGAGTGAGGAGAACAAAACGTTAAATGTACTTCAGTTGACACTGTTCGAGAAGAGCATTCAAATACAGCGTTGGCCGCACTACCGTCTGTAAAAAAAGCAACAAACCCGACCCCTCCTCAATATCGGACTATCTTTTACAAAATATTAATAATTAAAAAAAGCAATGTATATGCAACTTTTCGTCTTAATTGACTGGTAATTGCACAAGTGGTATTCACAGCCTTTCCACGGCGTCTTAGCTTAGTCACGTGGTAAGGTGTTGGCCTTGCATGTACATGAAATTAATTTGCAACTTTAAAGTGTTAGTTCAATTCCACTATTTTCCTAAATGCACACAGCTGTCAATGCCAAACATCATAGTCATTGCCTTTCTCACCATGGACCGGGGTAAAGGCAACGGCCGGACAAACACTTTCCACTTTTCCCTATCCTGGGATAGTCTCACTTGATGTTATTCCACGTATTCCCACTTTTCTGTACACCAATTTGTATGACTCAATCTCCAGACTCCCCTTGATCTTTTACCCTGTAGATTCCAATTTAGCACCTTCTTTTAACGCAGCTGCCTGACTGCATTTTGGTAATTCGAAGAGACTGAATAGCATATGAGTGAATAAGGGACCCTGCACACAATAATATGTAGGTTCCAACCAGGCAGTTTTAATCGGAGTGGAACCTCCGCGCAAAACCGATATTCGACCGGTCGGCGCATCATTCACATCACGTGTGGTTTTAACCGCAGCGGGTGTACTGACAATGACGATTTGCTGGGAATTTATGCGCTGCTCGTTGCGAGGGAAAATGGCTTCCGAAAAGAGATCATTTGAGCCATAGAGCTACCAATGCGAGTATTACGACCTTAACCTGATGATTTCAGTATTTTTAACGAATGTGTGTGTAATACAGTCGTATGTGTGTGTGTGTGTGTGTGTGTGTGTGTGTGTGTGCGTGCGTGCAAGTGGCTTAGAAAAAAAAGGGGGGGGGGGGGGGGCTGGCGAGCACGTGTATGTTGGTCAAGAACGATTTTAGCTTTTGTGTATGTGTCTGTTTCTATTTCTGTGTGCGATAGATACATAGATAGATAGATACTGAGAGAGAGAGAGAGAGAGAGAGAGAGAGAGAGAGAGAGAGAGAGAGAGAGAGAGAGAGAGAGATAACAAACATGAAAAGTACCACAGCTTTGGCTGATACATTAAATCAGACCCAGCACCGGACAACTGGCTTCTCTCAACGTTTTTAACCCTATCCGTGCGTCGTGTTTTACTATCGTAACCATACGACGTGGGGAACTCTGTGCCACCACTTTCCAAAGAGAAATTTTACTTGTTAATCCAACCCGTACGCTTTGTATAGCAGTCTGTCAAAATGATTTTTTGAGAAATACTGAATGTTTCAAAGAGATCTTCGTTCTAGAAGTCATCTAAAAATATGTGAAGAATACACCAGGGTTAAAAAATGACCCCAGGGCATACGGATAGGGTTTTAAAAATTCCTTCTGGAATGACTCGCGCAGGTTACTATAAATATTTCATCATAGAGTCCTGGTATGCGCCAGGTTAAAAGATTCTAACAAAAATCGACCAGATTCTTAAATGCCCGTTTCTTCTCCAGGCGATCTGAATAGTCTTTGGATTTTATTTTTCAAAGGCTGTCATGGGATCTGTAAATTTCAATGAATTGAAGAATTTTGTCTTTCGACCATACTGCCATGTTGCAAATTCACAGAATGCATAAATAATATAATATTAATGTAAAAGGAATTTTGTTTTCTATTTAATTTGGCCTACCTGATAGAAAAAATACTAATTCTGCACGATTCTGGCCTTAAAATTGGGTAGCTCGTTTAAAAAAAGTAATCAGATTTTATGTGCCGTAAATCATTTTGAAGATTTTGGCAGGGATAAGATCAGCTGGCGAAGCCGGTGACGTCACACAAAGGTTGTCGTCCACAAAACGCGCTGGACTGTAGCCTAGTCAGAAAATCCAACACGTTGAAACCGCCGGTTCGGCCTCCCTGTTCATCTTTTTACTAGCAGTTTTTCATCCACATCTGCGGTTCTGCCGCCAGGTTTGCCTTTCCATTCCGAACTGGCAGTTTGAAACGTACATGTGTAGGGGGCATATATAGCGGTTTGAGCCCTACAAGAGGTAATGCTGTAGCACATCCCCCACACGACTGAAAAAAAAAAATCAAAACAATAAGCCAGTCAAGGAATTTACTTTGAGGTCGTGCGTGTGAGCCTACAAATGCAAGGGCACCACATGACTGAAAGTACTTAAGACTTCAACTCTTACACCCTTAAATCAGTTGGGCCAAACTATTTGAATCTTGCAGAGGTTTTCAATGGCTATTTTGGACATGGGCCACCGAACCCGAACCTTTCATTTTCAGAGAAGTCACATCTTCTGTACATCCCAGTTTAGCTTAGATATATTAAGAGTTTACGGCTCTTGCAACACAAATAAGTCAGATAAGTACCAATGGTTAGAAGTATTACTAAGGAGCAACATACGAAAAAAAAGAAAGGGGAAAGATAGGGTCAATAGAACAGATGTTCGATAGAAAAATAGAAACAAACCACACAAGAGCACAAGCCAACCATCCACTCATCCCAATTTCACAACATGAAAGACTATAACACAACTCAATCAATGTTACAAATTTTTATTAAATGAACTGTAACAGCAAATAGCTTTATTTTGTTAGAGCTTCAGCGCATACATCACAGCACAAAAGACAGAAGGCAGCGAGTGATCTCTTTGCTGATTATATAGGTATAAGTCATAAATTGGAGTGAGGGGAAAAAATAGGTACGATCTGTTGAACATAATCAAAGAATAAATGCTGCTTAAACTGTGAACACATAATATTTCATTTACAAAAACAAAAAATGCAAAAATGAATCTGTCACCAACAGCTTATTTAAAAACAAAATGGCTCCCCAAAGGCATAAAAATATGGTCATAAGCATAATGTCACCAACTGGCAGAAGAAATGAACTGTACAGTCATATGGCAGCGTGACTCGGATAGGAAACTGGGAATTGATGGCAGAGAATGCCAGTTGCAACCATCCAAGCTGACACACACAGACAATACAAAAACCAATTCACAAGACGCATAAAGCTGTCTAGCCAGAATGTCTCCCCCGTGGAACACACAAACTCGTATCTAGCACGAAAAACGAACTAATTACTTTGTGAAGAAGAAACACAATCATGCCATTATCCATATGAGTATTTCAAGGAATAAACACGATTTTGTACTTCACAGAAGGCAGAATTACATGACAATTCACACACAACCAAAATGGTTCCCATGTAGCAACCTCATTCCCGAATGAATTGACAAGAAGTCAATTTCCGGAGAGACTTCAATGTACTGAGCTAACATTCACATTTTTCATCAACATTTTGCAAAGCCATCCAAATGTGCAAAATCACCTGAGTTTATAGTATAGGCTGTTATCAGCTTGTTCAACTGCTCCGTCCTGTGTTTTACTTCATGTACTTCATTTGCCACCAAAGTCTTTAGTCTTATCATCAACAATGACTGTAAAGTGTAGAGCAATTTAATCACATAATGTAAAGTTAAGAACAAAACTGTTAAAATGTGGAAGATTTTTTCATGTAATTCAAATCGCAAGTTTAGAAATTGAAATTTGTAGTATTTGCATCCCTGAGTAAAAACATTGAGCTAGCAAATCTGTCTCTGACATTGGATTAACACCGTGAGTGAAGGCTACAGAGAAGGCACATAAAGACAAAAAGTGTCCAAAGCTCTCACACAAACTGACAAATTGGAATTTCAAGAAATCTTTACAAGAATATAGTTTTTTTTGTTTTTAGTGGGGTTTTTTTCAGCATCAAACCCCAAAGTGAATCTTATCAAAATGAAATCTGCTTACATTGACGCTTGCCAAAAAAACAAACCCTGCCTATTTACTCTTGCCTGGCATGAGATTTTTGCACATGTCTAAAAATCACCAAGAATATGGTATGTATCTGAGGTTCATTAAGATTATAATAGCTACTAAATACACAGCAGTTTGTTTCACAGACAGGCATTTCCCATCTGGTTATGCCAGTTACATTACATTCTTTTTTCTTAACCCAGAGGGACCTAGTGCATATCCCAGTGTGAAGTAGTGCTAATCTACGACTAGGAGTTTTCCCTCAAAAGTTTAGGTGAATGAGTCCTGTCAGCTCAAGGAGGGGGGTGGGGGGGTGAAGGGGAGGGGAGGAGGGGGGCAACGCAGGGCTCAAATGGTGAACAATAGAAATGCTTAGACAATGTAGAATGTTACAAACGCACTGACACACACTGTATACATGTACACAATTAGAACTCTTTCTCACAATTAACACATTTTCTTCATCTGGGATAGGAATATTGCTGAAAAGAAAACTACATGCAGGCAAAGTACAAAAAATTGTTCAAACAGAACAGACTGAAACATATTTAGCTTTATGTGAATTGAGTGAAAATAACACTCATAAGGAAAGGAATTCCATACAGTTGCAGGATACAAGACTCATTGACCCATTATGTGGATCAACTGTCCACATTATTTTATCATAAACATTGGTTTCTCCTGGCTTGGATTGTCAAGCGCAACAGAAACAGTGAGTTGAGGTGGGTGCCCATTACAAGAACTTTAGACATGTTTGAGCTCCTGCAGATGCTGAAGTTCCTCTTGTTGCACATGTTTGTGCGGGTGCTTGCAGACAAACACGGGCACGTGGGAATGATGGACCAGGTAGTCGCTGACGGAGCCCACGAAGGTCCGGCGCAGAGTGCCCATGCCACGGCTGCCCACTATGATCATGTCAGCTGTCTCCTCCTCCACCGCCTTCAGGATTCCCTCCCCGGGCTTGGAGGCCATAACACTCTTTACCTTGCCTCCCAGCTGAGGATGGAAGACGAACACATAAGAAAGATGAATGAAACTATGATATGGCATTTATATCCTTTTCAAGTAAAGGGAAGCACTTCGAAACAATAACTGTCATTTAGCGATTTTTAGTTTTAGTTTTAGTAAGTGTTTTATGGCACTCGCAAGACAATAAGGTCATATAAGTACCGAAGATTAGAGGTGTTACAAGAGAGTAATAAACTCAAAAAAGAAGGAGGGGAGATAAGGACGATAGATGTTTGATAGGAAAGGAGAAGCAAGCCACACCAGAGCACCCGCCAACCATTTAATGATTCGATACAAAGCAAAATAGACGGTGAGAAAAAATAGGCGTGCAGGGGGGGGGAGGGGGGAGATAAGAACCAGTAGCGCCCTCCAGCCACCAGTAAAATATTACCCCTGCAAATAGACATGAGGATGCATGATGCAGGCTTACATAAAAAAAAAAAATGAATACTCGTCCCAAAGTAGTGTAAAGGGGTGGTGAAGCACTATGCCCAATTTACATTTTTTAGACTACATAGGAAGATGCATTTTTTGACTCTGTCTGTCAGGGTCAACCCCATATCCGATATAATATCACAACAGAAAGAAGGACATAAGCAACAAAAGATCTTCCCCACATGCGAATGGCACGCGCATCTTCTGCATTCAAGGCCAAGAGCCCTTCTACAGCACAACACAGACACCAAATGATTTATATTATTTAGTAGAGGATTTACGGCACTCGCAACTGCATAAGGTCATATGAGCACCAAAGGGTGGATGTCAACAGAGAAATCTTTACAAGGAATCAGGCTTACTCTGCTCACCTCTCTAGCTTCAAAAACACAAAGTCTGTTTCAACTTTTACAGCACCCCGGAATTAGCAGGTCACAAGAGTGACAAACATTAAAGAAGTAGAGGAAAAATGACAATAGTAAGGATTAATAAAGAAAAAGCAGCAGTTCCCTGATGAATCAGCACACCAGAATGCTTTGTGAAACCAATGTATGAAATATAATAGTAACTGGCCGTTGCTAATGAACAGGTGGGCGTATTAATTAATAAATTTCGGAAATAATAACCTTCGAAACAGTTGAGGGATAGAATAATGAAAATGTTAATAGGGTTTTGGGTTGTTGCATTTTTTTTCAGACCAACCCTCCTGTTTTAGTTTTTGAAAGAGTTTGACAGCCCTTGCAACACAATAAGATATTAAATACCGAAGAATATGTGTTACAAGAGAGTGATATACAAAAAAAAAAAAGGAGAGATAAGAAAGAGGGATGTTTGACAGGAAAGAAGGAGCAAACCACAAAAGAGCACACGCCAACCACCCGCTAACCATGCCTCCTGCCCCATGTCCCGGAGACCCAACGCAGGAAACACACTCTATGGAGCTGCATATCTGTTGATGAAGATCTGCCACTTTCACTACATGACACAGGCTGCAGCAAGTTTACAAATGTGTCGACAACAGCAACAACTACAACAACAACTACAACAGCAACAACAACAGCAACAACAACGACAACAGCAACTACTACTACTACTACTACAACTACTACTACTACTTCTTCAACAGCAGCAACAACTACGACAGCAACAATTTCAACTACAACAACAACAAAAACAACAACAATTGCTACAACAACAGCAACAACGATTACCACAACAACAACAATAACAACAACAACAACAATAACAACTACTACTACTTCAACAACAGCAACAACAACTACGACAGTAATAACAACTTTTACAACAGCGATTTACAACAGCGGCAACAACTACTTCTATAACAGCAACAACAACTACTTCTACAAAAGCAGCAACAATTACGACAGCAATAACAACTACTAGAGCAGCAACAACATTTTTTACAACAGCAACAACAACTACAACAGCAACAACAACTATTACAGCAACAGCAACAACAACAAAAGCAACAACTACTACTCCTAAAACAGCAGCAATAACTACGACAGCAACAACAACAACAACTACAACAGCAACAACAACAAAATAAACGGCCATCTCCTAGGATAAAAACGAACAGTCGGCTGTCCTTGAGAACAAAGATTGGAGAAGATAAATGAAGACTTACCAACTACCACCCCTCCCCCCCCAAAAAAAACATTAAAAAAAATAATACATAAAAATAAAACATAAACAAAAACAACAAGACAGTGTTATACTCGCGTTCTTCTTCTTCATAGTCATCTAAAACCAATTTAAATAATCATCTACTGATGTGAACAGCTGGACTGTGTGATAGCGGTCAACAAAAATGTTGGATGGTGATTTCACTGCAGAGAAATGTTAAATCACCAACAAAGCCTGGTGCAAAAAACCCCCCTCCCCTCCCCCCTCTAAAGAGCACTGTGTCATGTGACTATGAAAGAAACGCCCATGAGCGGTCATTGTTGTGCAGTCCTTTTCATCTCGTAATCAATACATCAGGACACTAGCAAACCTGAACAGATGTAACAGACGGACAGCACCCCACACCAAAGCCACAACGCGAATTTTACCGAATAGAACAGCAGGCAGATATAATAAAGAACAAAAGAGGGGCTTGTTTTCTAAAACAACCCCCCCACCCCCCAAAACAACAACAACAAACAAACAAAAAACAACAACAACAAAAAACCGACCCCCC